AATTACAAAGGCACCACTTGCATCCACTAGCAAGCCTGGCAACACAAAAAAGGCTGTCCAGGTACCGACGAAGCCTAATGTTGCTAATGATGCAAAGGACTGCAAGAAGCCGAAGGCAAAACCTAAGTCTGAGGGTAGTCGGTCTAACTCTCTCATCCTCTTTAACGTACCTGTGAGCACGGATAGCTTGCTCGAACAACGGGCCCTGTTTGATCAGGAACAGTGGTCCAACCTGTGTGGCAAACTAGGTCTGAACATTAGTTCAGCAAAACTGTGCAGACTGTACAGGGGTGTCCACACGCCTCAGGGTAAGCCACCCCCATTACGGGTTACACTGGACTCTGCCGAAGAGGCCGAAAAAGTACTGTTAATGGCTCAGGTACTAGCCCTGGACAGAAGTTCTAACATAAGAGCGCGGCAAGATAGACCATGGGCCGTCAGAAATATGGCGAGGGAGTCACCGGAACTGATGCCTTCCACCTCTATGGTGGTACACGGTGTTCCGGAGCTGGAAACCGGCACTGCTTGTGAAAAACACATGCACGACGTACAACAATGGAGATGGCTGTCATCTCAGATGGCCCCTGGCGCTTCTGGAGCCATCTCCATTTTCCGACTACCTCGTCCCGCTCATCTAACATTGATTAACTCTCCAAAGCTGCTGTGTGTCACATTCAACTCCCCGGAGCAGTTGTCCATATCACTTCAACGGTGGTATGAGACCAAGGGAAAAATTGGAGGACACATCCGATGCTGTGAAAGCAGACCCAGAAATATAAGGAGGCAGCAAACTGAGGCTTTAATACGACCCCAAGCTTCGGTGACACTAGAGCGATGCAGCTCTGAGAATAATAGTCTGTGTCTCCCAAGTGTCCTGCCTAAATCCATTGAAAAAAACTACAACGGGCCGGTTCTATCGGAATCGGCCAACTAGTTCCAACATCAAGTCCCCCACCAGCAGACGGTTTCACGTCAACTACCCCACAACACTCTGAGGTTGTTAGACTCACTGTCAGTTGCCTATATAGCAATGTGAGGGGGCTGAGAGGGAAAGTAGGTGAACTTCGAAATCTCCAAGCACACCTTCAACTGAAAATAATCATTCTTACTGAAACGTGGCTAAACCCCACTATCGCCGACAATGAAATCAGTATAGGTGATATGGTACTGGTCAGGAGAGACAGGGATAATAAGGAAGGAGGGGGAGTTGCTATATACTTTGATAGGCAACTTAAATGTGTGCGCGCAACGGACCCACCACTTATCGAACTCCCAGACTCCATATGGTGTCATTTCACCGTAGGCCACACCAAGCACTTACTGGGTGGCATCTACCGATCTCCCACCTGTGGGGCAGAGCACAATCAGCTACTGCTCAGCACTATCACAGGAATACGAGATTTGGGCTACGACCAAATCACCATAGCTGGAGATTTCAATGCTCCATCACTGAACCTTGGCTCCGGGTGTGCTAAGGGAAAATTTGGCCGAAACCTACTGCAAACTATTCGAAACACGGGACTGACTGAGAATGTTGGAGACGACACTAGGTGGGGCCCTAGTGGAAAGTCATCAAAACTAGATTATATTCTAACTAGTGACCAGCTACTCGTCGAAAAGGTCCAGATCATGACTCCTCTGGGAAGCAGTGACCATGCAGTCATAGGTTTCGATCTTGTCCTCCGTGAGCGTTTGCAATGGGATGTTACGCGACCATGTCTGTGCTACAGCAAGGCTGACTATGCTGAAATGCGGAGGCTCTTGTCCGACGCAGACTGGCCCTTAGCATGGGACGACCTATCTGTGGATGAACACTGGGAAGTGGTAAAAAAGATTATCCATGCAGCAATCTCGGATACCGTCCCTTTAGTCACAACACAGCCTAAGAGAAAGACGTCATGGTTGAAGAGAGGCACGCAACGTATTCTGCAAGCAAAGCGGAGGGCTTGGTTTACGTGGCGTGTATCTAAGAGTCAGACCGACCATGATGCATACCTCGAACTCAGGAACCGGTGTAATGCAAGAGTTAGGAGGGACAGAAGGTCATTCCAGGCTAACCTTGCTAAAAAACTCCTATCAAACCCTAAAAACTTGTACCGATTCATGTCGGAAAGAAAACCGACAAACCAAGGGGCATGCGCCTTAGTAGGCCCAAACGGTCAATATCTCACTAGTCTGGAGATGGCTGAAACATTCAGTTCAGCCTTCGCTAAACAGCTAAACAGCAATGTGGATATTACAGTTACGGACCAAAATGGTGGCACCACTATTTCAGAGGAGGAAGACCTAGCGACTACTCCCCAAATAAACCCCGCAATAGTACTAAGGAAGCTACAGCGACTCATACCTGGGAAGTCCCCAGGTTGTGATGACATCAGGCCATCTGTTCTGAAACAGTGCGCCGAGGCTCTCTGTAGACCCCTGTGCGACTTGTTCCAACACTCAATGGATTCGGGGACCCTGCCAAGGGAGTGGAAAAGAGCCATCCTTTCTCCAATCTTCAAGGGTGGGGACAGGCAAAACGCTGCTAGCTATAGACCAGTAGCTCTACTCCCAGTGGTATCAAAAGTACTGGAAAGTATTATTGACGACCACATCAGGGAATATTTCGATAGGACTAATATACTGCATGAAGCCCAACATGGTTTCAGAAAAGGCAGATCCTGCGTCACTAACCTACTGTCAGCTTGGGACGACTGGACATCATGCTGGGACTTGAACGTACCAGTCCATGTGGTCTTCCTAGACTTTGAGAAGGCATTTGACACTGTTCACCATGACCTTCTCCTACATAAAATAAGACAGGCAGGCATAGGTGAGCCACTTCTGTCATGGTTGAAGGACTACCTAGCCGACAGGCAATTTTGCACTAAGGTTAACCGAGTCCGATCATCTTGGCACAGATCGTCATCAGGAGTGTCGCAGGGTTCTATCCTAGGACCACTGATGTTTTTGATTTTCATCAATGATCTACCACGCCGTCTGAGCTGCCCGACTCTCCTGTACGCTGACGACGTAAAAATATGGAGGGCGATAAAGTGTCCGGAGGACTCAGATAGGCTACAGGAAGACCTAAACCTTCTGGAAGACTGGGCGGTGGCCAGTGGCATGACTTTCAACTTGAAAAAGTGCAAAGTAGTGAAGTTGCGCACCTGTAGACTGCAGAATGCAAGTTACACCCTGTGCAATGAAAGCTTGTCCTGCACAACGTCGGAACGCGACTTAGGTCTAGTTCTAACGGAAAAAATGGACACAAGCGTAAATTACACAGGGGATGTAGCGAGGGCATATGCGGTCATACACTTTACGCATAGACAGTTAGGTGCACTCACTCCTGAGCTCTTTCTAATGTTGTACAAAACATACGTCAGGCCACACCTTGAGGTGCATAATATTATTGCACCCCCAATGCTGAGAAGAGATGCCAACCTCTTGGAAAGAGTCCAACGACGGGCAACAAAAGGAGTGGTTGGTCTCCGAAACAAACCATATGATGAAAGGCTGAAGAAATTAGGCCTGTTCACACTTAGTTACCGTCGGCTTAGGGGGGATTTGATTACTGCCTACAAAATAACAAATGACCAGAATCACCCAAACAAAGGTGTTCTGCCATTGAGTAGGTATAGGCTTCCACGTGGAAATCCCAGAAGGATAGCTCACCAGAGGGCAAGGACCCGGGTGCGCTCCCACTTCTTTTCACTGCGGGTTTGTCGTCCCTGGAATTCCTTACCGGCAGATGTAGCTATGGCACCGTCTTTGGACGCCTTTAAGCGAAGGCTGGACAACCATGCAGCGATACAAGGACTGCATCCAAATGGCCTATCTCCTTAAAATCGCATTTACCAATCAGGGTAGATAATTAAACTCGTCATTTTACTTCTTTACATTCTCTCCCGTCTTACTCTCCTGACAACTTATTAATATTATAATTACTATTATTATTATTACTATTACCGATATATATATTATTCTTCAAACTTCATGAGCTGACTGTTGTTACGTTTCCTATTTTCGTTTCTGTCTCTTAGTCTGAATAGCTTCACTAATTATATCTATTATTATTATTATTACTATTATTATTATTACTATCTCTTTTCTCTTGTCGACAATACCGAAGGACTAACTGGCGAAAGGATCAACTCCAATCACAGTAGTAACAGTCTTAACATACCTCATACTACAAACCACATATAATTAATCCCAGCACTACTCCCTTTGGAGTCAACCAAAGCTACGACAGTCGAGTGGCGGGACAAGCTACGCAGAAGTTTACCGAAGATCAAGAACCTATACCTCACAATCAAGAGGCGAGCACAAAGAAATCAAATTGGTTTATACTAGCTCGTAAAAACGATATTGGATATTGGATATTGGATCCTTTAATGAATAACATCATGTCGTACCAGTGCCTAAGGTGGCCTATTTGACAAATACAAAGCAGTCTTTTGTACTTTTTATGCAGTTTTCTCGCGTAAACAGTTTATTAAGTCTCATGAGACTCCCAATATGTGTGAAGAAACCAACACAACCATCCATTTTACTGTCTATTCCTAAAATAGAATTATGTACAGACATCAACTTAAACCTGGTATCTGCGAATCGTATGCCAAACGTACTCATTTTTTCAAGGTAAGCTTCTTCATACGGAACAAATTCATTATATACCTAATGGATGAGACTTTCCCAGTGTAAACTTTCAGTGTAATTAGTGCCGATATATGAAAACGACGACAATAACCACCCACGAACGCATAGAATTTAAATTATCTCACTATATAGTATGCGGTATGTCATTAACAATGGAAAGTTCATTTATTTACTCTATGTTCCCCCTTTTTTGTTCGATTGGATGATGTCACTGTACATCAGTGGGACCTCATGATTGTGCTTCCGTTCGGAAATATAAAGAAAAACAGACTATGCGTAAAATTATGTTCACTTCATACTCAAAAAACGTGCATTTCTGTCTGAATTCATAGTTTTTCATCTTACCGACATACCTCGTAAACAAGTAACGTTTTTTAAACCTTCTCAGTATGACCTTGATAACTAAAAGGCAAAATGACTGATTAAAACAAAATGTCTGTGAGACTCCGTATGTGAATTTCACATACTTTTTCATGTTTACATTACGAAAGCACTTATGAAAATAATGAGGCATAAGTTTCTATGATGAGTACTAAGGTGACTCCTGTTATTGCTTTCTGATTGGTCGCTTGTACATATATAAACATATTGATAAGAAATTTCTAACCTCACTCCACAATGCTGCGTCATTTTGTATGAAATCATTTTTTGTCCAGTTAAATAATCCAACACGTTGATGTCATTTGCGGTTTTTGATGCCACATCCTAACATAAAGAGTTCAGCCCTCGCACGATCTCCTGTATCCAGTCAACTGAATATACGTTCAAGATCGAATTCGCCTACTCATGCACTCAGTAGTAGGACTCTTAACTCTCTCAATCAGGACAGCCAGAGTCTCACCAGCTTACGAAGCACTAGGTCCTATCCTAGAAAAGGGTCAACACTTGGGAATGCGAATCTTACAGCTGAAGAGCAAAAACATTTAGAAGAAGTTCTGGCTCGTTTCGATAAATTTCGGCAAATTGAAGATGCACGTGTGAAGTAAGTTTCTTCAGCTTTATGGATTTATTTCAGTGATTACTTCAGTCTGATGGAAAATAAATTTAAACATGGATTTATTTTTATTTCCCTTTTAACTGTCACTCAAATTATAAATTTCATAAAAATGCGGTGTTCGTAAATGCCAACCACCTTTTTTTACAATATATATGTTTTTCCAGATTTTAATTAACTCATCCATTTTTCTTTATTTATTTACTACTTCTATTTGTATGAAGCACGATGATTTTTCAGTTTTCTATTAACTAGGATTTGTTTGTTCAGTCAAGTATGCACTGCTTGATTGTAACAGGTTTTCCCAAAAGTGTAGAAAACAGCGGCACTTTAATGTTTTAATAGGTTTACGAGAGTCTATAAACTTCTCCACTTTTGGGTTGTTAAGTCTTTCAATAATAATTTCTGACTGCTAAAATATCTTTAAATTTGAGTTCAGTAAAATGGAATCAAACAAAGATTCAGTAGCATTAGTTTAACGCAAGTTTTTTCGAATAATGTATGTATTATCACCATGTCCTTTTCAAAAATTACTCTGCTGTTATCATCATATGCGTTGTCATATTTATATATATATATATATATATGTACATATATATAGTTTAATTTAATTGTTTCTTACGAAAAATTTCATAAAAGATATTTGTGTCTCTTATTATTAGTCCTGGGCTGCATAGTTATATAAGTTAGTTCCGTTACACATATTATTGAAACCACCATATGACAGATTATAAGTTGACTTATATCATAAAATTTTGAATCAATGAATTCCAGCCCAGTGGTTTAATGACAGCAACCACTGAGAGCTGTGACTATTGAGCTGAATTTTGTTTAGAATTTTGAATGCTTATCACCAGTGATTTTTAAGCTACTTAGGGCCGTTTAGGTGATATCCATCTGCAGTGAAAGCTATGTCAAGGTCATGAGTGAAAACCTCTCTCTCTTATCATCCCTAATCTTTTCACAGCTTCATTGAGAACGTGTTTCATTTACTTCCCTTACAATCTAGCACTACTTAATCGGTTCATTTGTTTTTATTGGCCTTTATCGACTACTTGTAGTAATTATTTGTAATCGTAGTAGTAGTATTTCGAGATGACCGAATTACACAAATCCAACCAAAACACAGAGAGGGCGGAATTCAGGAATTTGTATTTACCGGAATTATAATGCAATTCATATAAGAAACATATTAACAATCAACAGTAAGTATTTAAACAATACACAGATAGAAATTGTCAATCACCACATCCGCCACACCTCGAATATCTCCTTGCGTATTTATAACGATGTCTCGGTTTGCTTGCAAGTAGCCGCGACCTACTACTGATTCTGTGATATCATTTTCATCAGTATTATCTGGACTTATTTCTTAATTATCTACAAAGTCAGGATTAGTAACGGAATCACTAATATTATAATTGGAACGACCTGCTTCATTTATTGTCACTTTGTCCAGGTGTCTGTTATGAACTGAGTGATCTTTGATGTCTAATATCTTCACTACTCGATTTCCCATTTTTTTGTAGTATGATTCCAACAGAAGGTCTATATTCATTCCCTTTGTAATAATGTACATTAGAAGTCGCAGACATCAGATGCTTTCCGAGAATTCGAGATTTGAATGGTTTTGCAGGACTTTCACGGGTACTTGTATGCTCTGCATTCAACAGACGCAGTCTATGCATATGCAACAATTCCTCCATTTTAATCAGTTGCTCTCTCATCTCATTCAGTTTTTTTCGTGTTTTCGACAGTTCACATTGTAACTTGGCTACCACATTTTTGAAAACAGGTGACGCTTGAGTTCCTGAACTTGTAGTGGAGGTTTTCATTGGATGAGATTGAGTATTTTGAGAAGTTGAAAGACACATTGACTCCATTTTACTAGACAGATTGGGAGAATTATAAAAATGTTGAGTAACATAAGTATTCGAACTTCTGCCAACAGTCTTGATGTGTCCAACTTCACCACATTTGTGACACTTAGCACCCGAAAACGGCAAGTGCTTCGTAGATGTAACTTTCCACAGGATAAACACGGTTTAATGTTTTTGATCTCTCGCTGCATTCTATTACCTGTGGACGGCAGTTTGGATTGCTTTCCATGAACACTTGTATTTTCGACTTTGGACGACACGACATCAGATACTAACGCTGTGGGAGCAGAGTATTCACTGTTGACATCTTCATATGTAATACATAAATCTCTGGCAGTTTGAAAGGAACAGGAAGGAATCTGAATTAACTCTTTCTCTAACTTAGGAATATTGATTCCAGCAATTAGACGATCACGTAGTTGAGTTTACAGCTGATCTCCAAAGTTACACTTTGAAGATTGTATTTGAAGTTGAAGAACGAAGTCTCTTATCTTCTGATTGGGAGCACGAACCAGTTTATGGAATTGAGCCCTCTCTCTGGTCTCACATGTAGTTACATGAAAGTGATTTATCAGAAGTTCACGACTTTGACATATGACAGAGAAATAGGTTTATCTGGAAACTCCAAATTCTTCACTAGGGTATATGCATCTAGCGCAATAGCAGTGATGAAATGTGCTGGTATTTTGTCATCCCGAACGTTCTTTGAAATGCACCACGCATCGAAGCATTCAAGGTAATCAGCAATCTCCCGTGGAGAACCATTAATAGGGAATTTTCCAAGATTATTTAGTTCCATCGCGACGCCAATTTGTAGTAATTATTTGTAATCGTAGTAGTAGTATTTCGAGATGACCGAATTACACAAATCCAACCAAAACACAGAGAGGGCGGAATTCAGGAATTTGTATTTACCGGAATTATAATGCAATTCATATAAGAAACATATTAACAATCAACAGTAAGTATTTAAACAATACACAGATAGAAATTGTCAATCACCACACTACTTCTACCTGGACATTGGTTTGTTCAATCATGCTGTTTTTCATTATTCGTGTTATCACAGATTGCTTCAATTATTCATCCTTATTATTGATAAAAGCACTATTATTATTATGACTAATTGCACAATTTATAATCACCATCCTATTAACCTATAGACAAAACCTATGATTGGTTTATATTTGAATTTTTATTTGTAAAGTTATGTATATTAGAGTTAAGCATCGTGCGATCTAATGGAAAACAGTATTTTTCGCTTAAATGTGTTGTTCTAAATTTCACTATGGGGATATCGGATATATGTTTATAAGGTCAAATGAAAAACAAGATGAAAAATATATCGTAAAGTATCACTGGTCATGCTTGAAGTACTTGAAGTTTGTCATGTAGTGTAGGAAAAATTGCACAAGTCAAGCATCTGGAAAATTCCTCATAGGTGGAATGTGTACATCTGTGCGTCGGTGACACAGCGGTTAGGACTCTCACCAACCACGCAAAGGGTCCGAAGTTCGATCCCCTACCGACGCACACCTGATATCAATTGGTTGGCCTGCAAAATTTGGGCTACCTATATCAAATGCTGAAAATTTCAGACTTGTACCAAAAATACTGTGTGATTTCAAACTATAATCAAAAATATAAGAAAAATCAAAAATCAAAAAAATTCAATCTAGTCAAATCTCGATTTTAAAATCTCCTATTATCTTAATATGTTTTGTTCTGGTATATTTAGACCAAAACTTCTCTAATTATCGTCTCACAACAAACTACAAGAGTTTATTAATTAGATCTATAATTGGACGCTTTCAGTCTGTGCAAAGTAATATGAAATTATTCATAAAACGGCTTACAAAAGCTGGTTACATTTCATAAAATCTAGTTCTTCATACAAATAATTCATTTTATTAACGTTATGCATTTTCTTAAATCACTTTTAACAAGTGACAGTACTTTCAGAATTTTGTGTAACATTAGTAATTGAGGAAGCATATTAGGCTTGCAGAATAAGCGAATACCGGTTACAGGTATCTTTTATGCCTAACTGTGCCGACATCTTTGCCTAATCATATGTCACTAGGAGTTTTTGATTAATACCTGTACCGCCACAAAACATTCTGTATAAAAATATTTGTCAATGACATAATGTTAAGCAATTTTATTCACTACCATCAAAAATGATTAAAGACTTTGAACGGAAATATCCTAATTTTCCTCTGTCAAAACAAAAGTAATAGACAGAGATGAGAGTTTATTTTTATTCTTCATATTTGAAAACAAATTTTCGGCATACAGTAAATACAATGCATACTTTGACGCATGACTGGTACACAAAATTAGCATATAAAAAAACAGTGTTCATTCAAAAGGGAATAATTGAATAGGCAATCTGAGTTGATAGTGATACTGAGTTTTGTTTTGCTCGACTTGGTATCTCGCTTATTCTGGCTACCTTAGCTGGAATTTTCGTAAACAATACTTTCACCCTTCGAGGAAAGAGAA